GGGGGGCGACTCTGACCACTCATGCCAGGTGTGGCCTATTTGTCTTCAAGGGGCAAGTCATCGTTCATCCGGAACAGTCTTAAGAAGATTTTGCTCCATCAGATACCTGCCCTGGGGACCTCGAAGAGAGACCACTTGCAATTCACTACGATCAAGAAGGCCAGCCAGTGAGTTCTGGGAGGATGGGGGTAGGAGAGTGGGGAGAAGAGCATTTCTTCCCTTCCTTGCCTTTGTCTTTCACCCATGAGTTTATACATTTAGCCACCTATTCATCCATCTATGTGTGTGTCCATGAATCAGGTCTTCTGCCAAAGCACCCATAATCCATCCCTGAATCTCCCCATCCCTCCCACCTAGCTAGTCATCCATCTGTTCACAAACTCCCAGAATTCTACCCACCCATCCATGAATCCAATGAGCAGTCATCTACAAATCCTCCCCTCCACTTATAACTCCAGGATGCTGTCCATCTCTGATCTAGTCATGGAGCCACCTGCAAGTCTGCATACCCATTTGCATAATCATTCATGCACCCTCCATACATCCGCCCATTCTCCTAAGATCCGGTCCCTCTATTCCGACCTTTTCGTTAATTCATCCATCAGTCCACCCGTCTACCCACCCACCCACCACTCTTCCACCCTTTTGCCCATGCCACCATTCATTCATCCATTTCTTCCTCTAACTTTTATCAGGTTTTACTATATTTCAAATCTTGGGGGGAATAAAATAAGGAGTGGAGATAGGAGAAGAGCCTGAGCCTTAGAGCTTCCTGGGCCTGGATGCCGTAGCTCTGATGAAGCAGGAGAGAATGCAGAAAGAATTCCTCCAGCTTAAATAGGCTCAAACGGGGTGAAGGGTGGAGAGCACTGCCATGAATTCAAAGACCAGAGAGAGCAAATATACTGTAAAATGTACAAATGGAACATACATGCCATTCCTTCTCATTCGGGACCCATGGCAGACAGTACCTGTTGATCACAGCACTTTTCCCGGCTGGGCCTCAGAACCCTTCCTGACACAGTGCTCCAGGCAGACACCACTGATGGATCAGAGTAGGTGCCAGAAATGAAACACATTTGCCAAACCAGGAACTTTCAATCAATCAGGCCAAATAAACACACTACTTCGCACAAGATATGGTAAACGAAAGTATGGAATTCATTATCTCAAATGCAAGTAACAGCAGGGCTGGACATGTTCCCACTGTTTCCTACTCAAGAGCTAATACATGAGCACCGTCCGGTGTGTGAGATTGGCTGGTAGGCCCTCTGGGGGACACCGGGAGCGTTAGAACGGGCCCCAGCAGCCTTTGAGAGGAGAAGCTGAGATTTCAGACCTGTGGGCAGAGCTGGGGCGTGCCTTGGCCTGGCCTGGAGGCCAGCGCAGAGAAGGATTGATAAGCAGATAGCTTGGTAACCAGGTCCCAGTGCCTGTAGCCAGGGGCTGTCTGGGACACCGCCTGGCCACCTGGGTCTTCACTGGGCTGGGGAGAAGCATCCCGTCTGTGTCCACACAGACGTGAAGATGTGGTTAGATAAGTGGATGCAGATACATCACTATGTAAGTACTTGAGGTCAAACACGGCATTTCTGAACCACAGAGCCACGGACGGATCAGGCAGGCTCTCCTGCAGCCTTGCCCTTGGGGCTGAAATTAATAACAACAGAAGTAACAATAACAGACACCCTTTACTGAGCGCAGGCCCGGCGCCAGGCCCTGTCCTGGATGCCTAACGTAAGTTATGTGATACTCACCAAACTCTTACGAGGATGCTGTCATCGTGCCTACAATATATAATGCATAATTTAAAGGGGAGACCTGCAAAATGGAGACGGGAGGGTGGTCTGCCCAAGTCACGCGCTGGGCAGGGGCGTGACTGAGATGGACGATTATATTAAGAATAGTTCCCAGTTGGAGATGTTTACTGTGGGCCCCGCGGACCCTGGGTGGGGTGCTCTGCAGCCCATTTCATCTCTTCACAGCCCTGTATGGTGGGCACAACGATGATCCCCATTTTACAGATAAAGAAAATGAGGCTCAAAAGGGTTAAGACTGAAACCCAGGACTGCCTGAATCCGGAGTTCATATCTATTCTCTCTGCTGAATGGCTTGATGTGGAAGAGCACTGGCTCTGGAGTCAGGATTCAAATCTTGGCTCTGCCCCTTACCAGCTGTGTGCTCTTCGGCAAGTTGCAAAAAATCTCTGTGCCTCAGTTTCCTCATCTGTAAAATGGGAGTAATAATCGCGTCTCACAGGGCTGTGTGGCTGAGTGGGCTGATGGTGTCCAATGCTTGTGACCTGACACGCTTGGTCAGCTGTTGTGACTGTCAGGGGCCTTCCCCTGCCCCCGCGCCTCTCAGCAGGCCCCACAGCACACAGGCCCCCCCGGCTCAAGGCTGTGTCCCCCACAGCTCCTCGGAGGAAGGCTCAGGGCACTGCAGGCGGTGCTCTCCATTCCGAGTGCGGTTTGCTGACGAGACCCTGCGGGACACAGCACTCCGCTACTGGGAGCGCAGCTGTGCGGGTAAGCAGACAGGATGGGGAGCCCTGGGACTCCAGAAGGTTCCAGCCTGGAGCAGGGAGAGCAGAGGCTAAGGCCCTGGCTCCCAGCGTAAGGGAGCAGCCTGCAGAGGTTAAGAGGCTACTGGCCCTGCCGGGGAGGCACCTGAACTGGCCTCTCCAAAGCATGTCAGGGTGACCTTCAAGGGCCAAGTAGAGGGTCCCAGGCCCAGCAGAGATGTCCCACGGCAGGTGGCACCAGAGGGCAGCTGCAGTGGTGGCCCAGGAGACACAGGCT